CACTTCTGACAGACAGCAGCGGCGGCCAATCAGGCGGGTGGGTTGGATAAATGACCCTGGTGGGCTGTATCCGGCCCATGGGCCATACTTTGAGAACCCCTGTCATAAACCAGCATATCAGCAACATACAGCTGGAGCTCACCAACCATACACCACCTCCTAGAACATAGCTCATCTATTGTCTTGATCCAAAGCCAAGTTTTTAAAGCTTTCCTGAAGGCCAACATGGTCAGAGCCATCTGAATCTTGGGGGGGAGGGAGAAAGGGGAGAGTGATCATTTCAAAGAAGAGGTGCCACAACAGAAAAGGTGTGTTCCTATGTCCCATCAATGGAGTGCACCCACCTTGTGAAACCATGTGGGATAGGCAGAAAAAACTGGAGACAAGCCATTGTGCAAATAACCTGGTCCTGTACCTTGTTGTGCTTTGTAGGTAATAATCAGCATCTTGAATTGTACCCAGAAGCCAGTTGAGAGCATGTGCAGCTCATGAAGTAATGATGTTACATGTGATTATTGTAGTACAGACAGTCCCCCAGGTTAAGAATGAGATCTGTTCCTAACTCTGTCTTTAACTCAAATTTGTATGTAACTCATACTTACGAACAGGCTGCCTATTACTAAAAATGGCAGATGGTGTTCTTCTTTGAGCCGACGAATCGCTGAAGCTGAGCAATGTTTTCATGAACCGCTGAAAACAGGCTGTATATTAAAAATCCACAGCTTCAGCAGTTTGAGGAGGGATGCTGTCCGCCTTTTTAGTAATAGGCAGCCTGTTCATAAATATAAGTTGTCCATACATAGGACGTTCTTAACCCGGGGACGGTCTGTACATCTATAACTATCCACACTGCTGTATTTTGGACCAATTGCAGTTTCTAGACGGTTTTCAAGGACAGCCACGTGTAGTAGCTAGGTGTGTTCCCCAGTAGCTGTAATTATCATTGTAGACTGTAGAAGTAGTGACAGGGAAAGACATCCTTACAGACTGAAAGATGCTGAACCTTTATGCTCTTCAGGGCGAAGTGAGCACTATTGCAGTCAGGTGTTTGACAGAGGTGATAAGGATAGCAGCCTCTGCATGGACATGTTCAGCTCAGTCCAGAGTAATCAAATTGCCATTATCATAGCAAAGCAACTACTGTATTCATGGAATCACAAGGGAGGGGTCGAACTTCCCAACCACTGTTGCTGTTTCTGCAGTTTTTGTCTGTTTCCTTGGGCAGCAATTTTGTCCTTCTGATACCCACTTAGTATGTTTGCCACCCTTTTCAAACCACACAATTATCCTTTTCCTAACCTCGGTAGGCTCTAGCATAAACTGAGAAATAGCTCACTGGATGGCTTTGTGGGTCAGGATAGACTGCCTAGCTGCAACATTGCAAATAAAAGGTTTAGCTTCAGTCAGATTTCAAAATGTGGAATGGAGCCAGAAATTCACTGGTTCAAATCATGTAACTTACTGGCCTCATGTGGACACACCAGTACAGAGCTGCTACTGCAGCAGCAAAAGAGGCTGCGTGGAAGAACTCTGCATGTTATTTTGGTTGTTATATGAGGATAGATTTCAGATTTTTTTTTTTTTTAATGGAGGCAAATGTAAAGGACAAAGAGGTATAATCTCTAATGGGTGAAAGATTCTGTTTCTGAAGTTTTAGTATACGGATTTTTTATTGTTTGAAAATTCCAGTATTCTCTCTTTTACTGTTTAACACGCAACAATTCAGGAATAGACCACTGTGCTGAGTTCAATCATGGGTGTGAACAGCTCTGTCTGAATACCAGAGAATCCTACATTTGCCAGTGCTCCGAAGGATTCATCATTAATGAGGATCTGAAAACTTGTTCACGTAAGTCTCTTGCCTGAGATGTTCTATAGAATTAAACAGAAAAACAAAATGGGGCTTAGACTGTTTTGCATAATTTCTGGGAAAGCTTTTTTCAAGTAGAATTTAGAGTAAATTGGCAGTGATGGGATTAAATAGTCAATGAAAGAATGTGCTGAAAACACAGCAGTAAATTCAGGTTTCATAGAAAGAAGAGTAAAAGAGGAGGTTTACTTTAAAACAGTAAGGGAAATGGAAGTAAAAAAGAGGAAGGGTATATTTGAAAACAAAGAAAAGAACTATTACCATTCTTTTTTAAATTACTGCAAGAATTACAGATGTCAGGAAGTGCAGCCACTTGTGGAAATTATGTGTACCTCAAGTGATATGCATACTAAATGCATACTAAATGCAGAGCTAAATCTAAAAATGCTAGGGAATTCCTGGAAGCTTGGCATTCAGACAAATCAGCCATCAATAGACACATAGAGATAAAGCTAAATCTAAAAATGCTAGGGAATTCCTGGAAGCTTGGCATTCAGACAAATCAGCCATCAATAGACACATAGAGATAAAGCTAAATCTAAAAATGCTAGGGAATTCCTGGAAGCTTGGCATTCAGACAAATCAGCCATCAATAGACACATAGAGATAATCCACATTTACACACCATTCAAAAGGGACAATAAAAAAACCTAAGAAGGAAACAAAAAGACCAAAACGCATCCTCCCCAGCAGCCAACAGCCAGATAAGCAAGGATTAATGCCAGACAAACAAGCAGAAAACAATACCCTAATCAAGGAACTACCAAGGAGAAAACCACCCACCCACCAACAATGGCAGGGCAAGCTACTATATAAAAACAGGGAGCAAACCCCACACTCACTAGCACTGATGATGTTACCTGGTTGGGTAATGAAAAGTCTGCAAGCAAACAAAAAGCAAACAACCAAGCTCAGAGAGCACCAAAGACTCCATCTGCATACTACTCATTGAGAAATGTTTTAGGTTTTTTAAAGACACCACAGTTTCATGGATTCATCAAACAATTGATTATTGAAACGATTCATTTTGCGGTTAAAGATTTCTTAAAGCTAATTGTACTATAAATGGAGAAGAATACCAGATATGCTGATAGTAGAGAAGTGTCTATAAGTGACCTCTGTCTGCCCTCAATTTGGCAGTGATATATAATATAGTATATTTTGTATAGTAAAGTATAAATCAAAAGATTTTAAAGATTTAAAATATTTTTCAGTCCTTAATTATCTTGCCTTCAGTTTTTTTTTTCTTTTTGCTATTTTCTTTATATCTCTTTTCAGTTTATAAGCCACATGGGGGCAGGGACCCAGTCCATCACTGGCCATGTTCACCTAACATTAGGACAGGCACTCCCATATCTTGCCTCCAATCACTGGAGTAATTTAAAAGAAAAAGAATCTATGGTGGCAGTGGATTACTGCCACTGTGTATAGAGATATGGGGGAGCTAGCCCACTGCTTGCCCCTTTTCCACCCACCCCTGGTTTTGGCACTGTAAAATTAAAATTAAATTTAAAAAGGAAACAGGGTTGCTAGAGGAGACTTGTTTTCTTTTGGCTTCTCTAGGAATTTGTCTCTGCCTTTGAACCAGGAAAAGATAATTAAACCTCCAAAAAGAGTTTAGAAGTTCACAGATCATGTATTTTAGCCCCAAACAAAGATAATTAAACCTCTAAAAAGAGTTTAATAGTTCACATATGTATTTTAGCCCCAAACAAACGCAGGGCACTTTGTGGCTCCAACAAACAAATATCAGAGTCAGTTAACTGGATCAGTTGTCTGGATTAGTGTTCACATAACATATGGGGACAATTAACCATGTTCTGTGTGAACAAGGCAAATTTTTAACAAGCACATTATAGAGCATGTACTTATATAAATAAATTAATAATGCTTAAACTTGTCCTCAGGAGTGGACTATTGTTTGCTGAATGACCATGGCTGTGAACATTTATGTGTGAATACTGGAACATCTTACATCTGCCAATGCACTGAAGGATATGTGCTTCATGGTGATGGGAAAACCTGCAAACGTAAGCTTGATTTTAGTTGAATTGTTTCTGTATCTTTTAGTCCTTAAATGTGTATTGTACAAAACAAATACAAATACAAAACAAATTAATAAACTTGTAGATGGCTGAACTTGCAAGCTGAAAGGCTGAAAGTTTCAAACCTGCTCTCCCAGAATACCACTGCAGAATACCAAAGCACATGCAATGTTCCAGTTAGACCTCAAAATGGTACTGGTCCTCTAAAGACTGCTTGTTTACTATCCCATGGACTCCATAAAAGAAAAGACAGTAAGGAATGATTATAGATCATAGGAGATTTGAAAGAAATTAAATACCCTCATGCAGAACTTGGGGGTATACATAAAAGATTACCTGAAATACACAGAATTCCTGACCTTGAACATAGATACTACGAGAGACAATAAAGGTTAACTAATATCACATAGCAAAAAGGTCTAACACCAGATCCTAGCTGAAATGTTTATGTTTTTTCATAAAAATAAATAGGATTCTTAAAATAGGTGTTTCTCTTACTTTATGTGGATTTTTCTTTTTCTTGGAAATTTAAATCAATTGATTCTGAGGCCTTGAAGAGATGTGAAATCCCACTAATTTGCTGCCTTGGGTGAATGGTTTCTCCTTTTGTTTCAAAAGGACTCAAATCTCCCAAATTCAGCAAAGAGGGAAGAGCTTGGGTAATTTGACTTTGAATGTGACCAAGCGCATGTATCTGTACTTCTAAATGTTGATAGAATGTCTGGGCCTGTCTGGCATGGAAGTGGCTTGGCTGTGAATTTCAGTGCTGTCATTTATAACAAAACTGCCATTATTGTTTTAAATAACTATAGCTCCTATAAATTAAATAGTTCCTTATTGGCAAGAAGTATATGTCGACTTGGCTAAGGTTTTGTTTTGTTTTGCTTTGTTTTTTGTGAAATAAGGCAATGAATAGAAATAGGGATTATGAGGTAGGAGCTGTTGAAAAGTAGAGCAATATATGTTAATTTTAAAGTATTTTGGGGTGTGTTTTTTTGGTCAATATAATTCATTGCATTGGCAATTGTTTTCAGGTAGAGATCTTTGTAAGTTGGTGGACCATGGATGTGAGCATCTTTGTGAAAGTGATGGTGAATCTTATGTCTGCAAGTGCCATGAAGGATTCATACTAAAGAAGGATAGAAGAACCTGCAGAAGTAAGCAAACATCCCTGAAGAGGGTTCATCATGCTAAAATAGGAATGGATAATCAGCCCCACTCCAGGTTTCATGCCCCTGAGGAAGTCAGTTTCACTGTTGCACAGCTCTTGCCAAAAAGATTGAAGTCCAATCAAAATCTACTTCCTTATGATTTAAATTCACCTTTTCCTGTTCCATCTTCTAGACTAACTATGAACAGTTTTTCCCAACTTATACATGTCAAACCTTCAGGCACTTGAGGACTCTTATCATTCCTCCTTGCAGTCTTCTCTTCACCAAGCTAAACATATTCCAGGGCTTCCAACCTTTCCTGATGATTTTTTCCTTCCAGGCCCTTCATCATCTTGGTTGCTCACCTCTGGATACATTCCAGTTTGTTAATATCTTTGCAGTGCCCAGAACTGGATACAATATTATAGGTGCATAATATTACAATACAATATTTTAGGTGTATTCTGATCAATACAGAATGGGGAGGAAAAATTGCTTTTCTTTATCTTTTCTAAATGCTGACAAAATGACTGCTTAATAATTTGTTCAGTATCAAAGGTTTTGTTCAGTATCAGCAATAAGATGATGTGTCTGTAGTTACCAGGTCCACTTTTCCACATTTGTGAAGATAGCTACAATATTTGCCTTTCTCTGTGATGCTACATACCTCTGTGATGACTGACACTAGATACTTCCATGATTACTCAAAGATCACAGAAAAGGGCTCCAAGATAACATAATCAAACTCCTTTAGGACCTTCAGATATAATTAGCCTGGTCCAGGAGATTTAAACTCATTAATGGTAGTTGGGTGCTCCCTAATTATCTCATTATTGGTTTTGACTTGCTTACTCTCTCCTTGTGTCAATTGTTCTGCTTAGCTTTATTTGAACACAGTTCCCCTTTGGGGAGAAAAACAAAGCAAAGAGTTGAGGAGCTCTGCTGTTACCTTATCACCTGTTGTTTTTTACCATCTTCTAGTAGTGGCTCCATTGCTTCCTTTTTCTTCTTTTTACTACTGATGTAGCCAGAAAAGGCCCCTTTGTTCATTTTAGATTCATTTGCATGCCTAAATTCCTTTTGTACTTTTTAACTTTTCTGTAGATATAAGCTACTTGCTGATATGCTTCCTTGGTGATTACGCCCATCTTCCATTTCCTTTGCTTGTCTCTTTTGAGTCTTACCTAGGTCAAAAGTTTCTTGACCCTCTGCATCACAGTGGTTTCCTATGTTTTCCACACAATGTTTTTCCACTGACATGTATGGTTATACTTTCGATATCTTATTGTTAAGGAATTTCCAAGCCCCCTATTGCTTTCTTTGATCGGACAATTTCTGTCCTCAGTACTGGGTCTTGTACTTCTCTAAGCTTGTTGAAATTGGCTTTCTTGAAATCCAGTGTGTATGTACAGCTAAGAAGTAAGCTTTACCAGAAAATAATTCTTTTAATGTATCATATCTTTAGCAAGTTTTGATCAGAAATCTCTTTAACTATACCCAGATCAAGATGTTTGCAAGTCCATCAACCATGGGTGTGAACACATCTGTGTTAATAATAATGATTCATATGCCTGCAAATGCCATGAGGGATTTGTATTATGGAATGATGGGAGAACATGTAAAAGTAAGTAATATTTATCACCATCGCTATTATTTGTTTATTTTATTATTGGAAAATGTCTCACTCAAAGAAATGATGACCATGTTCAGATATAATACTAAACCATTGCTCAGTGTAGAGATGTGCAACTTTTAAGGAGAAAAAAGCTGCACTTGGTCTTTGAGTAATTTGCTAAGAGCTGTAGTCCCAAAGATAGGTGGAGGCAGGGAAAAAACATACTAGGACCAAGACAGAAACTGAAAGTGATTTTTTAAAATGAAATTGGAATTAATTTACAGTAATTTCAATTAACTTGGAACCAGTTAACATGATTGTTGTTCTTGTATTTAATTAGCTTGCACTACCCATTTGTTCAAAAGAAGCCCAAATAGCCATTGGTTAGGTGTGGTGATGGGAAAGGTGCATCATGAAGCATCAGAGATATCTCCCTGCTACTTGATTGCATAAGTCCTCCCCAATGGTTAGGTGCTGCTTGGGTTGAACTGTCTTTCAAAGCCATCTCTCTAAGCTGAGAATTGGCTCCTATATCTGGCAGGTATAAGAGGATAGCCTGGCTTGAAAGAGCCAGATTCTCTCACTGCCCAAAGCAGAATGACTCTGGAAGTTGCCCAGAGACCAGAAGGTTAGGATTTGGGTGTGTACCTGCAGCACCCTAAAGTATTCACTAAAGTGGGGTCACCTGATTGCACCATTGACAGAGTGGTTAGTGAAATATACTGAATTGTTTCCATGGCAAAACTAGTGTTAGCATAAAGGGGAAAATACTACTTTAAAACCAGAGTAGTTGAGAAGACTTCAGATGCTTCAGATAAAGCAACATTGTGAGGATATGGTTAAAAAAAAGTTGTTTAAGTATGTTTTTCCTGTTGTTAAGTGTAAGTGAGGAAAGGCTCTTAATTCAGCTTGACCTTCTTTCCTCCATTAGATCCTGACTGTAAAGATTAAAAAACAAGAACTTGTTTTAACTGTTTTGCCATTTTTTAGCAAAAACATGTTAATGTTGATGATCTTTAATCTATTTTTATGTAACTCCATTGAACGTGTCTGTAAACATATTTGCATGCATAGTAACATTTTGTATATCTCTAAATGTCATGAGGGATTCATATTGGAAGAGAATGGGAAAACATATAAAAGTAAATAATCAGATCTTTATTCCATTTACTTACTTACTCAGTTTCTTCTCTAAGGTTTTAACACTACGTGCTCCTAAGTGATGCCTCGTTTTGCTTGTAGAGTACTGCTCACTAAACTTTTTGAAAAATGGCAAGATACACTTTGTATAAAATTAAGTTGACATAGATTTCACAGCATCCAAGAATTACATACATACAATTGCATTCATACAAAAATGTCCAGTCTTTACAATATCAGCATTAGTAATCTCTATAACCTATAAGTTGATTCAGGATAAGAATACAATCAGATTTATTGGTTATAAAAAAAAAAATACCACACCAATATTTTTGATTTTTACATTTATATAACTTAACTGCATATAGCCTTACATTACTTATTCCAAATTTACTTATTTATTTATTTATATTTCAAATTTAGATACCGCCCATCTCACAAAAAGTGACTCTGGGCGGTTCACAATAAAACACCAATAAAACAATATAAAATACAATAAAAATAGAATAAGAATCAAACATATACACAAATAATATATTCCAAGATGTTGATGGTCAGTAAGATGTTAACATATGAGAGCATCTTCAAGGTGCTAGCCACCCCCAGGGTTGGTTGCCCTTTTTTTCACCCCATGCCAGTTGGCAGAGCAAATTTTTCAGAAGGACAAGAGGGTTGGGGCCTGCCTCACCTCCGGGGGAGAGTATTCCATAGGGCCAGGGCCACGGCAGAGAATCTTTTACGTTCTCAGATATGGATAAAAGCCTAACTTATTTCTGATAGTTTATTGTATTGCTTTTGTTATCAAAATGGTGGTTAGCTATAAAGCTGTTTATGGCATGAGGTCAGTTTATTTGTGGGACCACCTCTCCCCAATCATGTCTACTCACCCGATCAGGTCCAGCAGGAAAGGAATGTTATGGGTCCCATCCATTAAAAAGTGCCACCTGGCAGGACCCAGGAAGAGAACCTTTTCTGTTGCTGTGCCTGTCCTGTGGAACATCATCCCTGCGGAGATCCATGTTGACCTTTCTCAAGCCCTTGAAGACATGGATGTGTCCTTGGGCTTGGGGATCAGAATGTCTATTGGAGCCTGTGAATTAGTTTTATTGAAATATTTCTATGGTACTTGAATTGATTGTTGTTGTTTTATCTCAGCTGCCAATTGTCTATTTGTTCTCTATTGTTTTTGCTGGATTTTTTTTTATTGTTAGCCATGCAGAATCACTTGAATAAATAAAAAAATGAATTTTACAGATATAATAAATCCTTAGGTTGAAGAAATAAATTATTTGTCCTGCTGACAATGTTCCATTATTTCATTACTTTAACAGGATGTACTGAAGGCCCAATTGATCTGGTATTTGTGATAGATGGATCAAAAAGTCTGGGAGAAAATAATTTTGAAATTGTCAAGGAATTTGTCTTGGGAATTTTGGACTCTCTTACTATATCTCCCAAAGCTGCACGTGTTGGTTTGTTGCAATATTCCAGTCAGGTCCGCACAGAATTCACCCTGAAACAATTCAACACAGCCAAAGATATGAAGAAAGCAGTGACACAAATTAAATACATGGGGAAAGGATCCATGACTGGGCTTGCACTGAAGCAAATGACTGAGAGAAGCTTTACAGAAGCAGAGGGAGCCAGGCACTTGTCAGCAAATGTTCCCAGAGTGTCTGTTCTGTTTACAGATGGACGGGCCCAAGATGATGTTTCTGAATGGGCAACTAAAGCAAAGCAAAGTGGTAGGATGGATATTTATTAGAAGTGTAAATTGTAAAAGAAATAAGAAAGAAAGCTGCAAACATAGTGCTGCTATTACTATGTTATATACAATGCATTCCGAAAGTATTCAGACCCTCTACACCTTTTTCAATTTTGTTATGTTGCAGCCTGATACTACAATCGTTCAAATTCATTTTTTTTCTC